TTTTTTTTTCGAATCAAATGAAATGATGAAATTTCAGAATGCAGGCGATTTGGACGGCTCAGGGCCAAGGCTCTATGACTATGAGCAAATGGGTGATATTGTCAGATCGCTGCCGAAGATTTCAGATAAAATTGATTTCGTGAATCCGTATGAACGACCGTGGACGAGATTCGAAAAAACATGGCATAGGTAGAATGGTTCATCTCTTGCATTGTATTACATTATCATAATATCGTGCGTTCGAATATCTTTAAGACTTCTGCAACTATTTGATGATCATGCTTAAGTAATGTTGTGAAGATAATGAACGTAGTAAGAAGAATTGGATTTGTTACTGACATTGTGCCGTTAGAAGTTCACATTCGGACAACGTGATCGATTCTGAAGGCAAAATGATTCAGCCGTAAATTTGCTTAAGGCCATGGCATCCGTTCCTAATGTCGCCCCGTAAAGCGTGGAATGTACCATCGGTGCCGCGTTACTTTGATTCATTAAACTTCTACAAATATATCACAAAAACTCGTCTCGTCGATGGTTTGAATCAATGGTACGAAGGTATTGTTCCACCAACCACTTCTTTCCAGGTTCCGTTCTCTGTTCATCTATTAATATTTTCGATTTGCAAACGTTTCGTTTTCGTTATTATTCTTAGCGTTATTATTGTTGCCGTAATTAATGTCATCACTATTATTAACGTTATTATTGTCATCATTTATGTATTCATTCATTGGTTTGTTACTACCGTCTTACTTCTGATTAAAACGGTTCTGTACAAATAATTAATGGTGTTAGTCAATGTGAAGTGTTTGCAGATGCGTTTGATAGAATCGTTGATTGCAAATTTGGAATCGAATCAAACGGACATCGATGAGAGTGAACGTGTCACCATTCTGTTGCAAGCTGTTTTTGATGCAGCCTTGTTAACATTGGCACAGAACGTACATCGTTTGCAGAACTGTCGAGTGAGTGCATGTGTGCACATTGCTTTTAGGACACATTGCTTCATTTGGCAGATGCAGAAGTTTTACAATTTAAGACAATACTCATATTGATACTGATGCTTGATACTGCATAGTCATACTTTTATGATTTTTGCAACAGAGTTAATTTATTTGAAAGTATTTTGGGTTTGTTTTTCTTTTGAAAGGTATTCATTGATTCGTTCAGATCTCAGCAACACCACGCTGCGAATCATTCTGGGTTCGTGCGGGATTTATGCAAATGTATGAAAAGAAAGAAATCGATGAAGATTCGCCGAAAATCGACCATAGACAGGACCCGAGATTTATTGGAGATGACCGGTG